GTCCAGCCCTGCACAGCTTCCCAGGGTCAAGTCCCCATCCCTGAGGGGATTTAACAGCCCTGTGCATGTGGCACCTGGGGACATGGTCAGGGGTGGCCTTGGCATTGCTGGGGGATGGTTGGACWCCATGATGTGAGAGGCCTTTCCCAGCCTCAGCAATCCCTGGATGGATTTGCAGGATGTGTTTTGAGATTCCTCAGGGCATTCCATAGCTGCATTAGAGCTGTGCAGGAGCCTTTGGGATGAGACTCAGTGTCCAAACAGGGAAGTTTTAAGGAAACAATGAACAGAATGTTCAATGTGGAGCCTTGGGGACACTTTTGGCCTTTCCCACAGGTGATGAAGGTGCCSTTCTCCCTGTTCTTTTTGGGCAAAAAAAGAGATTCTTAAAGCCGTTGCCTCGGCCACTTTGACTGTGTTGTGTCAGGTTTCATTTCTTCTGAAGGCACCTCAGCTGCTGGTAGGGACTGCCAGGAGAGCAGCAGCGTGTGAAGTGAGAGTTTAAGGATAAAACACGTTAGGAGTCTCCTCAGGCCCCAAAGTTGCCATTGCAMGTGGCTGCCAGTCCCCCAGAACGGGCCGTGTCCCTGTAGGAGCTGTTCCCACTCACTCCGTGGCCGGCCCCACGTGCTCCGTGTGCGTCACCACCTCAGACCTGGCTCCACAGGCACAGTTGCAAATTCCTCATTAGCGGGGTTTGATGGCTCACTCTGCTGGAACAGGACAAACCTCAGAGTTATATTTTCCATCCTTTTTCAGATCTGTAGGAACGCTGTTGTTCCCTTTCAGCACAAGGAGCGAAATCTTGCTTTTCTGGGTGTGCTTTTGGCACAGACCATCTCATTATTACTATTTATTCTGAAAAATTGCCGCTGCTGGTTGATTCTGAGTCTTGTTCACTTCGACTCCGGTTGTACCCAAACTCCACATGGTATTGATCACTCAGTCCTTCATCCAGCAATGGTAAATACCTGGTTTCTGGTGACAAACTTTTTTTAAAATTAGGCTTTTTTACTTATTGGCTCTAAGGGCTTTTGCCAGACATCGTTTTGGTGCTTTGGGCTYTGCGGGTGGCCTTGGCTGAATGTTCCCCAGCTCTGAGCTGGGTTGGCCAACCTGGCACCCGCGCTGAGCACTCCGGCACAGATGGATCCATGTGGGAGAGAGAGATCGGAGTGTGCCACCCACAGCTGGCGTGGGCATTGCTCCACTCAGCTCCATCCTCACAGGAGTCACACAATCCCTGAATGCTTGGGTTGGAAGGGACCTTAAAGCTCATCCAGTGCCACCAGTGTCCCATGGCAGGGACACCTTCCACTATCCCAGGCTCCAAGCACCAATGTCCAGCCTGGCCTTGACCACTGCCAGGGATCCAGGGGCAGCCACAKCTTCTCTGGGCRTCCTGTGCCAGGGCCTTGCCAATGACAGGAATAATTTCTTGCAGTGTCGCTCTTGGAAATGGTGAGTCAGAAATGCCCAGGGTGCTGTGAGCTGAGCTGTCCCCAGAAGTGTGATTTCCACCATAAAAACGCACTGAGAGCAGTTTAGTGAGGATGGATGCGCTGCACAACACGTTGCCATCGCAGTGAGCAGCAGTGGGGAGGAAATTCCTGCTGGCAGGGCTGTGTCTCAGAGTCCTTAGTGGGAGATGCCAGATGGGAATGTCCTTCCCTGTCTCCTTGAAGCCCCTTTCCCTYGGGAGCGGTTCCGCTCTGCTGCTGACTCAGCCGGGCTGGGTGAGCAGCACGAGGCGCYGCAGGAGCCGGCTCGGGGCAGCCCTGGCTCCAGCTCCAACAAAATGCCTTTGAAATATCTTTCAGGGGGTTGTTGCGGTGCTTGGGGGAGCAAGCCAACTGAAAAGTCTCTTAAATAATTCTTGCAGACTAATGAACAAATTTGATTAAGGTTTGGCAGCTTTTCCTAATATTCCTTGTAACTAGGAAATGGTCCCAGTTCTCCGCTCCGCGAACACCCTCGTAATTAAACCATGAATGAGAGCAAATGTCCTGATGAGCACAGGACAAATGAATATTAAGCCCCAACCTATCCTTCTGTAATCCCTGGGGGATGGTACAGGGTTGTGTATCCTGGAATGTCAGAGGCTGTGAGAGATGGAGCCTGAATTATGGCCCCTCAAGTAGAGAAGTTCTCCATCCAGTTCCCTAGGATTATTTTTTTTTATTATTAATGTTGTTTTTGTTGTTGTTATTATTTATGTTTATAAAATCATGGAATTGTTTAGGTTGGAGGGACTTTAAAGCCCATCCAGTGCCCCCCCTGCCATAGGCAGGGACACCTTCCACTGTCTCAGTGTCCATCCTGGCCTTGGACACTGCCAGGGATCCAGGGGCAGTCACAGCTGCTCTGGGCACCCTATGTCAGGGCATCCCCACCCTCACAGGGAACAATTCCTTCCCAGTATCCCATCTCTCCCTGCCGTCTGGCAGTGGGAAGCCATTCCCTGTGTCCTGTCCTGTTTTTGATTGACCTTTTATTAAGCAACATGAAATAACATGAAATTCATGTTGTCATTGGTTCAGAACCATGGACGCTGCTGGAGTTCAAATCCTGAAGCTTTGGAAGCTGTGGGTTTTGAGGAGCAGTGGGCTCCCTGATCCAGGGGATTCACGGTGTGCGTGCTGCAGCCCCTCATCAGGCAGAGGTTTCATGTTGGTGCTGAATTAGCTGAAATAATTAACGACAGCAGCTTCCAACAGATGGGAGTCACCTTGAGGTGGGGGATATTTGAGAGYGGTAGGATTGCAAATGAAGCCATTCCCAGAAGCAGAGAGAAGGGAGTGGGCTGGAGGCTGTTGTTATTCAGGAGGGGAACTGCTGACAGCAACGGCTCCTGCTGGCATTGCTGTGGGTAGAGCTGGCAGGTGACACGAGGGGACCATGAGGKTTTATTGAAATGCAGGGGAGGACTCAGGTGGAGAGGAGCCAGTGCAGATCAGCTGCAATAAAAATGGCTTTTCCAGGTGAGCAGGAACAATTCCTCAGAATTTTGCATTAAAGCAGGTGTCCATCCTCTACATTTTGCTGTTCATTTTTCCTCCCAACCCTTTTATGTGCCCAAGATGCTCAACCAGAGCTGTGAAACTGGAAAGGCGAATGGGTAGGAACGCTAAACCAATGCAGGGAAAAAACACYGATCCTGAACTTACCCTGGAGTCACAACATAAACAACAACCCCATACTCTGGGGCAGGAAGACACAGGTTGGTTTTGTTTTCCTGGTTTGTACCAGGACTGAACCACCCTCTGAGATGCTCCCCTCAAGTCTGACAGGCAGGAAAATGGAGAATATAAACAGTGATTTCCAAAAGATGCACAGAACAGGCTGTTTGCTGCTGGAACTGTTACCCTGGGTTTGTCACAATCTGTTGTGTTTTATAAAAAGCAGTGTCCAGCTCGGATAACAATGGGTTTGAATCCCCAGAYGCCAGGGGAGCTGCAGGAATTTGTGCTGGGCTGAAATTCCTGCCTGAAATTGCAATGCTGCAGGAATTGGAGTGGAGGGGAGCCCATGGCGGGGCGGCTGTGCAGCAGCCCCGTGGGGAAGGAGGGGTTGAAGGCATTTATGGGGAAGCTGCTGCTTGTGTGTCCCATAGTGCCCACTGGCACCAAGGGCTGCTCTGGGATTTCAGGCATTTGGGGAGAAAATGGGGGAAAACTGCAATTCAGTGAACATTTTATTCTGTTGTTGGGTTGGAGGGTGGTGCTGGTCCTGCTGTGGCTGGACACTGCTTTGGGTCCTGGGTTTTCAGAGGAGGTGGTGCTGCTCTCCTGCCCCTGGGAGAGGAGCTGGTGTGTGTACCCTGTCCCCACCCAGTGTCACAGCTCGGGGAGCAGTGATCAAAATGAACAAGCATAGGGACAAGTGGCACTTCTTGGAACTGAATCTGAGCTTTGTGCTGTGACACAGCRTGGGCAGGGAGGGCTGGTGTGATCCACGTGTGCCAGAGGGATCTCCATGTTCCTGCTCTYGGGGAATCCCAGAATGGYTTSGGTTGGAAGGGACTTTAAGGATCATCCCATTCCACCCCTGCCATGGGCAGGGAGACCTCCCACTGTCCCAGGGTGCTCCAAGCCCCAATGTCCAGCCTGCCTTTGGACACTGCCAGGGATCCAGGGGTAGCCACAACTTCTCTGGGCACCCTGTGCCAGGGCCTCCCCACCCTCCCAGCTGGGAATTCCTTCCCAATATCCCATCCATCCCTGCCCTCTGGCAGTGGGAAGCCATTCCCTGTGTCCTGTCCCTCCATCCCTTGTCCCCAGTCCCTCTCCAGCTCTCCTGGAGCCCCTTCAGGCCCTGCAAGGGGCTCTGAGCTCTCCCTGGATTCTTCCCTTCTCCAGGTGAGCACCCCCAGCTCTCCMAGCCTGGCTCCAGAGCAGAGGGGCTCCAGCCCTGGGAGCAGYTCYGTGTTCTCCTYTCCAGGTCCCTGTGCTGTTGCASTCCCAGGCTGGATTCCAGGCTGGAGTAATTTTTCCTCTGTGACCTTCCCTGTTGCTCCCTTGGGCTCCTGGGAATCCTCCCTGCTCACGGAGGGCTCAGCTGTGAACGTGGGCAGAGGAAAGGATGAGCAGGACCAGCTGTAAAAATAGGGATAGCTGGGAACAGGACCACACTTCAGGATAGGTGTAAACCCTGGAAGAGGTCAGAACTTCACCATTAACATTCCAACAATTTATTTTAACAACTCAAAAGATGGAAAGATTTGCTATTTAAATTAAACCACAGGTTTCCTTCATCTGCTGTGTGGCTTTTGCCACTGGGATAATATGAGATGTTGGAATCTAATGGCATCTGGATGCACCTCACCTGTTACAGGGAAATTCTTTCTTCCTGCAGGTGTTCTGGGGTTTAGGACATTTTCCACTAACACCAACCTGCACTGAGTTCTGTCTTCTGCTACTGCTGTGTTGAATAACAGTAAACTAAACAAATAGACCTTTAAAAAAAAACCTTAAACTTACAAATCTCCCTTCCTTCTCCAGGTAAACCAGAGGAGCCCAAAGCAGCCGAGACCGTGACTGGGAACGACATCACAGCTCCTCCCAACAAGGAGCTCCCTCCCAGCCCTGAGAAGAAGACCAAGGTAGGAGCTGTTCCACATTGGGCATCTCCGCTTCCCTGGATTTTATTTGCCAGCTTTTCTGCTTCCTCAGCTCTGCCAGCCCAAATTCTGTTTTCTGAGCTGCCACTTGAGAGCCCTTTCCCTGGAGCAAACCCATCCAGCTCCGGAGCTGCCGACGGCTCAGCCTGGGCCTGGGGGGACTGGAAGTGCCTTTCACAGAAGTGTGGAAACTTTATTTCAGTGAATTCACCTGCTTGGTGTTGGTGGTTGTAGCAGTAGTACACGTAYAGTAAACATGTAGTAAACATGTAATGAGCGTGTAGAACCAGCTGTGCTCACAGACACTCTGCGAGGGGCTCACAACAATTTCTGTGTCCTGCAGAATCCYGCTCAGGGCCCGGCTCATGAATCCCGCTCAGGGCCTGGCTCCTCCGGCTTTGGTGAGCTCTGCTGCTTCCAGCAGGCAGCAAATTCCTCCCAGAGTGTCCCCAGGAGGGCTGGGGGCCTGGGGCACTCTCCCTTCGAGGCCCTGCCCATTTGAGCTGATCCGATGAGGATTTGGAGCTCGCAATCCCCGTGTGCCCGTAATTGGAAAGCCACAGCCCGCAGATTGCACATAGCTCTGGATGCTGGGAGCACCCAGTTACTAATCCCAGCTTTACCAGCCATTCCTTCTGTTGCTTTCCATGCTGCTGGAATAAATCCCGTTGGTTTGGAATTGAATGGCAGCATCTCCCGGCTCTGGAGGCTGCTGCATTTGTGTCTTTGTTGCACTCAGAAAACAGAAAGCTGATTATTTTATTATTATTATTATTATTATTATTATTATTATTATTATTATTATTATATTTGTTTCCTTTAAAATATCACTTTTCTGTTGTTGCAGCTCAATGTTTTGGTTTACAATGCGCTATTTTTTGTTGTATTTCTTTGGTTTTATCCTGGATTTTGCTTTTTGGCCCAACCCTAAAGCCTGCTGCATCCACCTCCACTCCAAAGCCGGCAGCAGCGAAAGCCAAGCCCTCGGCCACCACCAGCCCCAAGCGGCCGAGCTCGGCCACCCCGGGCACAAACAAAAAGCCCACGAGCCCGAGCGCAGGTCCTACTCCAGGCAGCACTTCCAAACGCCCTGGCACCAGCAGCACCCGTCCCTCCACCTTAACTCCAAAAGAGACTAAACCAAAGGTAAGAACCGCCTGCCTCTGGGCAGCTCCTGGAGCTCACTGACCAGGGAAACTCCCAGCTCCCACCTGCCAGGCTGGACATTCCTGTGCTAGGATAAACTCAGCAATGGRAGCTAGAGGGTTCGTGGGAGCAGCTTCCATTAACCCAAGGATGGCATCGAGTCCCTGGCACTGAATTGTGTCACCACAGAGGAAAATTAACCCTCAGTGTGTTGCTGTGGTTGTCCTGACGAGCTTCCATGAATCAGGGAATCCCAGACTGAAGAGGATTGGGAGGGACCCTAAAGACCACTTGATTCCAACCCTCTGCCATGGGCAGGGACACCTTCCACTATCCCAGGCTGCTCCAACCCCATCCAGCCTGGCCTTGGACACTTCCAGGGATTCAGGGGCAGCCACAGCTTCTCTGGGCACCCTGTGCCAGCTGCTCCCCACCCTCACAGTCAGRAATTCCATCTGTATACAACTCTTAAATGCAKACAAGAACATGGGAGAACTGATTGGAGACGTTTGATATTCATACTGAAGAAAACCAAATCCATGTGAATGCTCTGCATTTCCCACCAATGCTCATTTTATGAAGTCTGCTCACTGTAAAACTGCACAGAAAGAACTGGTAACACTTCTGGGCTTAGGAAATGTGGGAGATGCCTAAATCTCCATTAAGAGAAGGTTCATGGACAGGGTTGGATCTTCAGAGAAGCAGGGAATCCCCATGTGTTAGGAACGGGAATGTTCCCTTTGTTAATTTGTGATCCTACCAAGTAGAGGAATTCAAGTTTAAAAGGGAATGTTAAAATTTATCTCAGAAGCTTTCACTGATGGCTAAACACAACCATTCCTGCTGTATTAAGCTCAAATTACTGCATTTGAGTGTCTTTTAGAGATAACTAAAACTAAGAGAAGGCAAATGAAAGCCCAGGTGTAAATCTGCACTTTTCTGTGAGCTGGTGACTTGGGTTGGTTCAAGTTTTTGCATCATTCTGAATCCCTTTTTGATAAAATCAGCTTTGTTCCCATGCCTTAGCTCAGTATTTTCATACTGCAGAGGCAGTTGACAAACAAGTGCCTTACCAGGAACAGCAGGAAAGTTTTCCAAGTGAGGGATGAGCYGTGTACACTCACTCCTCATGTCCCCGATGTTTAAAGCAATTCCAGCTCAGGAAGCATTGCTGCTCCTGGAGGATGGGAATGTCTCCCAGGAGCATTGCTGGTGGACTGATGGTTCCTCTTTGTCCAGGAATCAGAACCTCTTTCCCAGCTGGAGAGGCTCCCACAGATCCAAGCTGAGCCAGCCCCAGGTGAACCTGCTCCTCCGCAGGCTCCGTGCTCTGTGTCCTGCCCTCCATGCCATCACTCACTTCTGCACATCTTAATTATATTTTAATTGCATTATAACCTTCCAACAGTACCAGGCTTAATGAAGTGTTTGAGGATTYCAGCAATTTCTGTTCATTTCAGCCTTTTTTGGCACTGTCCATTCGCGTTGAACGCTGTGCTTTGGCGCTGACATTCCAGCTGTCCTGACACCGCCTGCTCCGTTTCAGGTCGCGGATGCGAAGCCCACGGAGAAGAGAACCTCCCTCTCCAAGCCTCCATCCTCCACCACTCCTAAAACTTCTTCCAAGAGCTCGTCTGCTGCTCCCCGGACCACGGTGCCGTCGCCAGTGACGGCAGCGGCCGCTGCCAAAACCACAGCGGCGTCTCCTCCCAAGAGGCCGACGAGTGAGTGCTGCCCCACTTCCCTTGGCAATCTGCCCTTCCACCAGCAGCAGCTTCTTCCTTGAGCAGCACCAGCTCCTCTGCACAGCTCTGGGGGACAGGAGGGGACAGCAGGGGGGTGGGCTCTGCTCCTGGAAAACAGGGACAGGACAAGGGGAAACAGCCTCAGGCTGTGCCAGAGGAGGCTCAGGGTGGGTATTGGGAATGWTCYRCCTGGAAAGGGCTGTCCAGCCCTGGCACAGCTGCCCAGGGCAGGGGCGGAGTCCCCATCCCTGGAATTGTTTGAAAGCCACTCCATCACTGTCTGGATTCTGACAGCAGCTCCACATTTTTCTCTTCAGGGCTTCCTCTTCCAGATTCCCTTCAAGGCCAGTCTGGATCAGTTCTCTGTTATCCAGGGTTAATTCAGTTACTGAACACAATTGACCTAAGAGTAGGGATTCTATTCCCTCTGTATTTTGCCACAGGAACAAAATAAACACTGAATGAAAGCTTGGGAAAGCAAATCTTGGGAAGAGGACTTGAAACACCTGAACTGGTGTGTGAAATCCAGGAAGGGTTGAGCAGAAGCAGAGGTTTTTCAGTAGTGCAGGAAGACTTTGGAGCTGAAATCACATCAGTTTCATCCAAAAACTGTGTCCCACTCCTGCTGCTGCTGAAGAGGGAACTTCCCATGAGTTCCACACACACCTGGGCAGCRTGTTAGATAAACAAACAGTGTTCTCACTCATTTTAATGGAGCTCGAGGGATTTGACATCAGATAAAACAGCAGTCCAGTGTTCTCAAGTCTTTTCAAATGATGGGACCTCGGTGGCCAAATTTGCCAATAAATGTGTWAGATTACATGGGTTGGGTTGAATCCCAAAGCATGGGTTCAGGACCCAGCTTTCCCAAAGGAATTGTGATGTTTTAGCTATGCTGGGATGTATTAGGTTTGATGGGCATCCCAGACTGTGTGCTCTGGGGGAAAATCTAATTAATCAAGTGCAGAGAAGGTGTTGCACATTCCAAGAGCCATGTATCCAGTCTGATCCCGTGGCCATGCTGGTGAAATTCATTTTGTGTGGTCTTGGAGGCAAACTGGAGCCCAGGAATGCAGGATCTGTTCTAATGAGTTGGGTTCATTCCTCCTTCCCAAGCCGAGCCRCAAACAAAGGAGCGCTTGCTGGTGCCATTTGAAAAGAGATGGAGGCAGCGATGCAGAGCCATAGGAAGGTCGTTCCAAGAGGCAGGATGTGCAGGGGAGGAGGCTGTGGCCCTGGGAATGTGGGGGAGCCTGCCAAGGCACAGCGAGGGCCGTGGGGTGAGGGAGAGATAAGGTCAGCTGGAGGGACTCCATGGGGAGGCAGAGCTGGCCTGTCCAGGTCTGGAAACGCAAAGGGCAGGAAGGAATGGAGTGAGAAGGGGGTCCTGTTCTCCTGTGCTGGGTGAGGAGGAAGCTGGGCTGGGACAGAGGGTGGGAGGTGCCCTGGGGCCTCGAGAGAACCACTGCGAGCCCAGTGCTCATGGTTGGTTTGGGTGAGATGGGGGCGGGGACACCTGGAGCACTTGGGGTCACAGCRCAGGGGACACCTGGAGCTTTTGGGGTCACAGAACTGGGGATGCCTGGAGCTCTTGGGTCACAGCTCTGATCAGCTTCTTTAGGGGAGGGGGCAGCCGGGGGGATCAGGCTCTGCTCCCAGGGAACAGGGACAGGAGGAGAGGGCTCAATCTGTGCCAGGGGAGGGTCAGGTTGGATACTGGGAGAATTCCTTCATGGAAAGGGTGGTCAGGCATTGGAAGGGGCTGCCCAGGGCAGGGGTGGGATCCCCGTCCCTGGAGGGATTTAAAAGCCCTGTGGATGTGGCACTTGGGGATGTGGGGCAGTGCTGGGGATCAATTATACTGGATGATCTTGCAGGACTTTTCTGGCTATAGTTGGAATTTATTCCATGGATTTAGTGTCTCACAACACAGTGTTGAGCCAGAGAGTAAGTTTGGGGTGAAGATGGTGTTTGTGGCTGAAAATGCTCTCTCAGGACAGCTGCTGGTGCTTCTCTCRTGTCAGAAATCAGGCACTTGGTGCCTTGAGCTGCCATCAAGTTTAAGTCATTGTCTCACATAAAATGTGTRTAAAGGCCAGGTTTGACATTATGTAGTTCGACTTTTTCAGGTATTAAATGTCAGTCCTTTCTCTAAAGCAGAGCCATGGATTATGTGAGGATTGATATTCTGATTTTTAGGGTTTTTTCTTTAGTTTTTGTTTCCCCCCCGTGGAAATGACTTCTGTGTTTGCACAAGAGCACGCTCAGCCCTTCAGATCAGGCACAGATCAAAGTCTGTCACCACAGACCATTGTCCCAGGAGCTTTAGCTGTGTTTGCACCATCTCATGTTAATACAGACAGAAATTCCAGCATTTGGTTCCCCACTGACACGAGCAGAAATAACATCTCTGTATATTAAAGTAACATAATATTCCTTTGCCTTTTATGTAAACCTAAGTCTGTTCTGTCCATACAGTTTCCCCAATTAAAGTTGTGGTCTCGAGGAATGAAATTAGGTTGGTTTGACAGCCCCTTTTTGAAGTRTTTGCTATTAATTATGTATCTATCCTTTAGGCCTTATTAAATTATCCAAATGGGTTTCACCTCATTAGCTGGAATCTTATCTGGGGTGTTTAATTGAATGCTTTTAGCAAAGTCAGGGTGGAATGATCCAGACTAACTTGGCCTGTAGTTATCTGCCTCTTCCCCTTGGTCTTTTTGGTATTGATATTCCATAAAGGACTCTGCCAGCTGCTGGAGTTTATCTAAAAAGTTAAGACTTAATGGAAATTAAATATTAAAAAATGAGGGTTTTCATAATTTTTAACTTAGGTCTTTTCCATTTAATAATTATTTTCCACATTGCCTTCATTTGGCTGCTGAAATTAAGCAGACTTTACCCAAACTTGCTCATCAGTGATAGTAAAAACCTTACAATTTCATGATCAAAGAGCTCCTTAAAATAAAGTTCTGTTTCTCTTTTTCAGTCCATAGTTTTTTCCTTGATCAATTTGGTGTTTGGTTTTCTCCTGCCTGGAGAAGTGTGGCTGCATCCCCGGTTTAGAGTGTCCTCTGTGCTGTGTAATCAGGTCATGATCGTTGGGCTTTGCCCAAAGGCAGCTCAGTTTAGGGATTGATTTTTGGGTTTATACAATTAAAATAGGGGCCAAAATATGTGCAATAACTCCTGTGCAAGAAAATTGGCACAGGGTAGGACTGGTCTGGCAATGGGAGCAAGGTTGGAGAAGGACAAATGCAGGGTTGCTTTTGTTACTTTTTGAAGAAAGGAGATGTTTTGGGGTGGKTTTTTTGTTTGTTTGGGGTTTTTTTAAGAAATGAAGGTGGGGCAGGATTAAAATAGTCCCAGTGAATGCTGTCAGATTCAGGAGGTTAATTTGAGAAGAAACAAAATGCAGCCCATCCCCAGGTGTGCGGTATCGCTGAACGAGGATCCTTGGACACGAGCTGGTGCTTTGGCTGCAGAGTACCAGGGGTTTTGCTGCCAGCAGGAGTAGTCCAGCCAGGTGCTCCCACAGAGCAGTTTATCCTCGGGCTGATTCCAGAGCTGGAATGCTGCAGGGATCCTCCCTGATGTTCTGACCTCTGCGTTTCTGTTGGCAGCCATCAAGACAGACGCGAAGCCAGCAGACGCCAAGAAAACCTCTGCAAAGTCTCCCTCAGGTACTGCTCACCTTCCCTCTCTCCATGGACTCGTGGGATCCCTGGGTTTGGGAAGACCTTGCAAGACCATAGAGCCCACCCAGCCACCAGCACTGCCAAGGCCACCCCTGACCATGYCCCTAAATGCCACATCCTTAGGGTTTTTAAATCCCTCCAGGGATGGGGACTCACCCCTGACCTGGGCAGCTGTGCCAGGGCTGGACAGCCCTTTCCAGGAAGTATCCAAGCTGACTATCCCAGTATCCAAGCTGACCCTGCCCTTGCACAGCTTGAGGCTGTTTCCTCAACCTGAATCAAACCCCCTTTGTCTGGGGCCRGGGTCACTGAGAGGTCCCTGTACATATCTGGGACTGGAGGTGTCCAAAGCCTGGTTGGATGGGGCTTGGAGCCCCCTGGGATAGTGGGAGGTGCCCCTGCCATGGCAGAGGGGAGTAAGGTCCCAACTCCTGCTGACATTGTGTGACTGAGGCACTGTGTGTGACAGCTTCTGAGCCCTGTTTTCCCCTTGCCCTCCCCCATTCCCTCTGATCCTGCAGCAGATTCCAGCCGCCCCAAGAGTGCTACCGGCAATGCCACCAAGAGCAGCGCCACCACTCCTTCCACCGCTGCCTCCAGCACTCCCAGCGTGCCCGGGGCAGCCCCCAGCCGGCCCAAGCCCAAATCCGCCGCTCCCAAATCTGCCACGGCCTCCACGGTGTCGGCGGAYGCCAAGAAAACCACGGCCAAGGTGGGCAGCAAAGGCAGCACCAGCACCCGAGCACCGCGCCCGGCCAGCAGCGCCTCCGCCCCCGACCTGAAGAACGTGCGCTCCAAGATCGGCTCCACCGACAACATCAAGCACCAGCCGGGCGGGGGAAAGGTGAGCTCCCGGCCGGCCAGGGCAGCGCTCCGGGGCTGTGGGGCTGCGGGCGGGGCTGGGCTGGGCGCTGCGTCCTGCTGCTCTCCCGGGGCACAGCTCCCGCTGGGTTCCTGCTGGGTGCACGGGCTTAGCCGGGCTGCGGGTGCAGGCGGGATCCAGCCCAGAGCCAGCCCCTGCTCCCTGGGACACTGCAGCGGTTCAGAGCTCTGCTCCTGCTCTCCTGCCGYATGTCCCAGCACCGAAACTCGGTGTGGAAGGCTCCGAATCTTCTCTGTACTCCAAACCTTTGCCTTTGAGTAGAGGAAATGAGTCTGCTGAATGGTGCAGAAGGTGGAATAGTGCACTAGGATGAGGGAAATCTGGATTTGGGAGCAAGTTCCACAGCATCTTTCCCATGTCCAATTTGTCAGGCCCAAAGCTGACATGAAATGAGTCTTTTTGGGTTGTCTGTGGTGGCCACAAGGAGAGGGCAGTGCTGAAAAACCGTTAAAAGATAAAACCCGGGGCTCTCAATGCCTCTTACTGCTCTTAAATGGCATTTCCACCATCAGTGTGTGCCAGGGAAATGATAAAGGTTTGGGGATACACCTGCAGCCCCTGCTGAGCTGTAACCAACGTGGCTGTGCAGCACCCAGACCCTCGAGGAGCTGTTGTATAATCCCAKCTGTGGCCACGTGTGTCAGCAGCAGCCACAGGGCTGCAGTTCCCCCCTGGTGGGACAGATCTTTCCACTCCTCTTTGCTGCAGTTCTGTGGTGCTGAATAACCCAGCCCGGAACTTTAATCTACTGCCAAGGGAGCACGTTCCATGCTGGGAGCCTTAATCTGCTCTCAGGCACATTACAGTCAAGGGCACTCCTGGCTGGGTGTTGTGTGTCCCAGACAGCATCGATACAGCATGGATTTATCCTCAGAGTCAGCAGTCTCCTGGCAGTGCAGCAGCGCAGCACAGTCCTCATTGTGTCAGCTTAAGGGACTTCAGTTTACATTTAATTGCACCGACCTTAATTTTCTAAATATTTCCATAGAATTATTAAATCCTAACAATTGCATTGCTAAGCAAATTGTCCTTTTTGTAGTCTTAYTTACACTGAGATGCTTTTAGAGTCTCAGAACGTTGTAGTGCTGGGTTTTTTTTGTTCACTRGACTGTAGGTTAGTGAAATACAAGATTTATGCTGAGCTCCCCTAAAAATGCAGGTTCTGCTGCACTTCCCTGCATCTAAATTAGCATAACAATAGATATTCTCAGGTATTTGCTGAATTTTAATGAAACTGTAAATTTTCCTTCAATTTTCTGCTCASCTGGACTCCCTGGGTCCACCTGCCTTTTGTAGGATTAAAGCTGCATGAGCAGTTGAGCTCGAAGGCTGAKCACAGTGTGAGTGGGTGGGAGCCCGAGCTGGGAGCACGGGGCGTGTGTCCAGCAGAGCTCTCTGAGCTCCTCGTCAGCCCTGGTGGCTTTGCCTCCCCGATCTGTACCACGTGCTCCATGTGAAGGAGCTGTCYTGTGCTGCTGGTGGGTTCCTCAGAGATTTGGTTGGATTTTTTTGGCAGGATCGATGTCCTGGGGTCACGTGGATCCCAAGGAAGGGCACCAGGAGCGTTTTSAGAACGGGATCCTTGCTCTGTGGTGCTGGGTGCCGCTCCCCCYGGGGCCAAGGGGTGCCTCAGTGTCACCCCATGTTCCTGGGCAGGGATTATCCTTGGCCGGGGCATTAGAGCATGCAAGGAGTTCTCTTGGGTCATCCGCCCCACCAGGTTTATCCATGTGCCCATGCTCCTGCCCACGCTTGTGCTCGTGCTGGTTGAAATCATCCCTTTGTCTCCATCCAGGGGAAAGTAGAGAAAAGGCCAGACTCAGCCGCCGCCGCGCCCAGGGCCGAACCCGGTGCGGGCACTAAAGTGGCTCCTAAAGCAGCCGCAGCAAAAGAGGGGGTCCCCAAACAGCCCAATGGGAAAGTGAGTTCCTTTCACACTTTTGTCTGGGGGARTTGAAGGAAAATGTTTCCGTTTTGAGTCACTGTCCCTCCTCTCCAGCTGTCCTGCTCTCTCCTGTCAGTGGCACTGTTCCTCGCACAGACACTCCCCGTTCTCTCTTGTGCACCCTGAGATGTTCCCAGGGAAGGTCCTCCAGGGAGGGACCTTTTCCACACCCGCTGGAAATGTTTCCAGCGCAGAGTCCTCCTGTTTCACTTCCAGGTTAATGCAGGCTTAACTTCGAGTCAGAGGTTTCCCTTTAACCCAGTTCTTCGCACACAGAACCAGTTTGCACTRAGACAGAGAGGTTGAGTTCCGAGCTGCTCCTTTTAAGACTGCAGAATATGAAGGAGTTTGCATCTTTCCTGAATATTCCCAGCCCAGTAGTACCAAAACTCTCTAACTCCATGCCTTAGGCCATCAGCATTGGATAGGTTACAAGTGGATGGGGTGAGTTGGGARTGTCACAGGTCAATTCCAGTATTATCAGGCAGGAATGGTCAGGAATGAACAGGATTTGTACCTCTAGGGAGTCAGAGAACCACCCCACACTCCGTGGCACAGGTGTGTTCCCAGAGCTGCTGTTCCCTGAATCCAGGAATCCTTTCTGACCTGGTTGAGGAGCTCTGGGAATGTGCCCAAGTGGGAATGTTGGGTGGTTCCTGTTGTGCTCTAAGTTTATCCCATTCTGTAGGAAGCAGGTTCCAGCTTGGGCTCGTTTGTGCCCTGGTAAATAACTCCAGATTAAACCCGTGTTGTAACCAACCTTTGTCAGCACTGGTGTCTAACCCAGTTACTTCTGGGAGAAAAACTCACCTAAACTGCTCCCCTTTTTAAAAAAAATCATGGGATTGCTGAGGCTGGAGAAGCCCTCTGAGACCGTGAAGTCCAACCATCCCCCAGCACTGCCAAACCATTGCCACCTTTGTTCTCATGCCCTTGAATCCAAGTCAGTGGACAGGAGAAACAAGTTCATTAACACAAGACTCACCTGAGATCATTGAACCGAAGGTCTGACCACCTTCAGCAGAAAACTCTTTCTCAGACCCAGCTTTACTGCCCAGGGTTTGGAGCTGCGTTATCCAGGGCTGGAGCCAGTCCAGGTGTGGGCATGGGGCAGCTCACAGCATGCTGGGAGCGGTGGCTGCAAGGGCTGGCTCTCCCTGCTCCAAGGAATTCCTGGAAACCTCCCTTGAGGCTTCCTGGGCCATGGACAGTCCCATCCCATCCCATCCCATCCCTCTTGGCTGGCTCTCCCTGCTCTAGGGAAGTTTCCCAGGGCCATGGACAGTCCCATCCCAGCCCCGGGGCTCCGCAGGGTCCGTGGGGAGCATTTTCCATGCGTGGCACTAACACTGTCTGTGCAGCCTCTGTCCTTCACTTTCTGTCCCTCCCCTCATCGCTGGYGTTCCCTGGCACCGGCTCGGGTCCCACACGGTCCCTGTCCCTCCATGACCCCCCAGCCTCCTGCCGTATGACAGCTCTAACCAGTCCTCTTCCCTTGTGTTGTTTTCCATTCTGTGACGTTCCAGGTCCAGATAGTCTCCAAAAAAGCGAACTACAGCCATGTTCAGTCCAAGTGTGGTTCCAAGGACAATATTAAGCATGTCCCTGGAGGTGGGAATGTAAGTATGGGTGTGGGGGAGCTGTCTGTCTATCACTGCCTCCCTCTCTGTGCTGGGGTGGGTGTGCCAGCTTAAGGGAGGCTCTGCTGGAGGCAGACGCTTTGGTGGAGCTCAGGGATCCTGGAGACAGCTCAGGCTGGGCAATTGCTGCATTTTCACTGGGWCTGCCAGGCTGAATGTATGTGTTTGATTCCACAGTTTCACTGCACATGGGCTGCTCCTGCTCTCTGGGCTGGTCCTGGCAGACCCGGGGTTGGGACGTGGCTGAGCCTGGGACTGAACTCACCCCTGGCACCCCCTCACTCCCTGACCTCCTGTGGAACTTGGATTTCCCAGAGCAGATGCACTATGGCCTGGAAGTGCCTGTTACCCTTCCCTGGCTCACAGGGCCAGCTAGAGCCARACTCATTTCACTCCTTGTTTCACAAAAAGGACTTTAGAGCAGGCAAAGACTGTGGACTTAATCTTTGAGCTGCGATTAATTTCTAAATTTAAAGGCTGCTGGTATCTCTGGCAGCAGGGCTGAGCTTATTAAAATAGAAAGTTAATCTGGTGGTGTCTGCAGCTTGGTTTGGGGTGTTAGGTCCTCAGAGCGCCTGCCAGGCAAACCAGGTTAACTGTCCAGATCCTACAGCTTGGGAGGGCATGAGCACAGCCTGGGGGCTCGTTTCCATGGGGCAGATCTGTGCTGCCCTGAACAGCCTGGGCTGGGCTGTTGGCACAGTTTCAGGAATACAAAATTTGGGTGATTTCAAAGACACAGAAGTACTTAAGCCCAATGAAGTTTTTTCCATGGATGTTTAARTGTCCTGGGTTCCCGAGGAGTGATGCCCTGCTGCCACATCTGCTGCAGTGCCCAGGGTGTCTGGCTGGAGTCTGGTCCAGGGACACAAACCCTGCTCAGGACATGGCTATGGAGCCAGCTGAGAGCCACTATTCCTGGGAAATCCATATCCAACTGGCTGAACCTTTACAAGACTGATTTTTCCACAAATCTTTGCAAGAGGCAACCAAATGTGAGTTCCTAACAACCGGTTCCCTCCAGGCTGGTTGCCAAGGTGGCCAGAGACAAATGTGACACACACGTGTGTCACTGAGCCCAGGCTCCCTTCCCACAGTCACTAGACAAACATCCCTGCTGCCCTCCTGGCTGAGGATTTCGGATTTGTGGTTCTTCCTTGCTATTTCCATTTACGCTGTGTTTATGGGGGTGTTTCCCATGAAAATTCTCCTGCAGGTGCCTTGGAAGGGCTGGTGTTGAGCCCTGGTGTCCGTGGGGAGCCCTCAGTTTGCTTTGGAGCCCTGTTCCTGTTCCTGCCGGTTGTTCCACCTGGTTCTGTCCCCCTGCTTGGGACAGGCTGCTCCAGAGTCAGTGGCAGAAGTGTCCGTGGCCACACTGGTGACAGTTTCTGGTGGCATTTCCCTGTCYGTGCACCCCAAGAAGCTGCATTTTATAAACCACTTCGATTTTGCTACCTTTACCTTGTTCAGTCTTTCAGGGGCCTCCCAGGTGCCTTTCATGTTCTTTCTGGCTCCCAGAAATGGGATTGAAATGTGGGGGATCATTTCTTGCTTTATTAACTGCATCAGTGAAGTGTCCTGCTTGTGAATCACCATCCTGTCTTTCCCTCTGCGCTGCCAGACATTCCCAGCCCTCAGGACAGCTGTGTCCCTGCTTTCTTCTTCTCGTCTCCTCTCCCACACTCTGACCACTGCGGTTTTGCTCTTTGCTTGGCTATTTAAGCAGCTCTTTATTCTGCATTTTCAGAGCCAAAAGCTCATTTCCAGGTTCCAAATGCCCCCAGAGCAGCTCCAGGCAAGCATTCCCAGCCCTCCACCACAGGCACTGGGGGTGTGAGTGCCCCTGTCTTCCCAGAAAAGAATTTTCTTCTATTCATTTTTGTCTCTACTCACTCCCTTCGGGGCACTGTGATTTTAGTGACCTCTTCCAAGATGTTTTTGTGCTCAAGTAGTTGCGGTGATCACTGTTGATAGAATTCCCACCCCCTGGTGGGTCTGTCTGAAAGGTCTGTTCTGGTCTGTGCCTTCAGTTAAAGCTTTTAGGAATCCTGTGGACAGGAATGTTGTGGTTTAGGAATGATTTTGATTTAGCCTTAGGGTTGCTCTGGTAGAAGGGATGGACATGGAATGGTCTGGGTTGGAAAGGACCTTAAAGATCATTGCCACAGGCAAGGACACCTCCCACTGTCCCAGGGTGCTCCAARCCCTGTCCAGCCTGTCTTTGGACACTTTGGGGGATACGGGGTATTGTCCTGCCATCCCACCCAAGTGGCTCCTGGCTGGGTCTCTGTTCAGGTGCCCATTTTGCCCTCTGTAYAAGGAAATAATCTCTTCTCCATGCCAAGATTCCCCAGAAGCCATGCCCAAAAGCTGAAGTTGTTGCTCCTGGTCATGTTACACTCACCAGAAATACCTTGACACATAGTTCAGTTTCCTGGGGAAGAGGTTTTGATAGTTTTTTTTTAGTATTTCCCACTCTCACAACCCCTGAGGTTGGGAACGATCTCAAAGACTGCCAAGTCCAGCCTTTTACGAAGCTTTCTGTTTAAAGAAAGCAGTAAAGATTTTACAAAGCCAGGCAATGTCTGTGTTGATGAAGATCTAAAGGGGATTTGGAATGTCTGTGTGTTTCTCTGTCCTTTGGCTTGGCCTGCTTGGGTTGATGGGAAAGTGGTCAGAGCCAGAAAAGCTAAAATGTGTTGAGGCTCACCCTCCCTCCCYGAGCCTCTGTCAAACTTGGAACATTGATTTCTGGCACCAGAGTCTGTGTTTGGCTCTCTGGGGGCAATCCCAAGGTGCAAACCCAGCTGCTGTTAGAAATCCTRCAAGCACACCGTTCCATGTAGGGGGGATAGCTTGGGTCTCAAGTGAGGGACTGGGAACAAACACCAGGATTTCCAAATGCATTCTGTGAGATCAATGTAATCTCATGCCAGCTCTGAGCGAGCAAGGACTGGTGATTAAAGCTGTGGTMACTTCACTTGCAAGCCCTGAGAAAATCACATCAGACTGGGGGATATGGGACCGTGGCAGGAGGCTGAGCTGTGCTGTCCTGCTCACCCCGGTGGTGTCCTGTCACCCATCTCTGTGCACACGGAGCAGGAGGTTCCAGGCTTCCCAAGGAAGAGTCACGGCAGATAATCCTGAGAACTCTCGCTGAACCCTTAGAGTAGCTGCAGGGTGAAGGAATTCTTGTTAYATTCAAAGGAAATCCTTGGATTTCCTCTGAGAACCAAACTGGAGCAGAACTGCTGAGCCTGCAAGTTCTGGCTGCTGGCTGCCCTCACCACTGGCACTGGTCTTCGAGAGGGACAGATTCCTGGAGCAGTGCCTTCCATCTGGGCACCGTGGTCCCACAGAATTCCAGATTGGTTTGATTGGAGGGACCTTAAGGGTCATCCTGTTCGCCCTCCCACTGTCCCAGCCCCAACCTGGCCTTGGACACTCCCAGGTATCTAGGGGCAGCCACAGCTGCTCTGGGCACCCTGTGCCAGGGCCTCCCCACCCTCCCAGGGAACWATTTCTTCCCAATATCCCATCTATCCCTGCCCTCTGGCACCGGGAAGCCATTCTCTGTGTCCTGTCCCTCCATCCCTTGTCCCCAGTCCCTCTCCAGCTCTCCTGGAGCCCTTTAGGCCCKGCAAGGAGAGCTCTGAGCTCTCTCCGGAGCTGTCTCTTYTCCAGGCTAGATGTGATGGTGGAGAGCAGAGGTTGGASCTGGTGGCACATCCGTGCCCTGCAGCAGGAGGTCTGTGAGGTGTCCCCTGGCCTGGTGACCGTGGCACTGCCCAGGCCATTGCCGTGTCCCCAGGCTAGGCAGGAGCCATGTGGGGACATAGCAGCAGGGCTGGTATTTATTGTCCCTGTTCCTGGTGTTTTTGTATCCTGTGGCCGTGCCTGGTTCTGTCCCTCTGTTCCTGTGTCCTTCTGTCCCTCTGTCCTGCTCTCTGGTCTCAGCTCTGTCCCTCCCTCGAAGCTCTCGTGGCTCCGAGTGGCGCCACAGTGGCCAGGAATGGCCAGGAGCGATGGCTGGGAATCTGCAGGAGGAGCAGCGCAGGGCACGGCCCCACGGAGCACAGCGCGGTGTCTGAGCTGCCCTTCGKCCTCCGCAGGCTCCACAGGTTTCTCTGGGCTCACCTGCTGCTCTTTGTCTCTCCAGGTGCAGATCCAGAACAAGAAAGTCGACCTTTCCAAAGTGTCCTCCAAATGTGGATCTAAAGCAAATATCAAGCATAAGCCAGGTAGGAATTTTACCATTTCCTCATGATTTCTTTGTAGGTTTTGTCCCCAGACACAGCCCTGGATTGTGACTGAAGTAGTTTAAGGGATTTGTTGCTTTCAGGGGATGTTCCCGGTGCTTCTGGAAATTCCTAAAGRTGCTTCTTTCACAATTTCACAGAGAGGGGGATTAGGAGATGCGGGATGTCCTCTTGCCTGTGAAGATAATCTACAGCTTTGGCTCACTTCTGCTTTCTCCTTGCTCATTTGAGAAGGAAAATATGGATACTCCCATGACCATTGCATAAAACTCCATCCATGTTCACAGAGGGCTTTGGGGTATCTGAGGATGTTCAYGGAATATGGAAGGATAAAGGAAATTTCCTCCAGTTCCTTAGAGCACACACAAGGGTGCTGTTAGCCTTGAGTCCATGGCAGCTCCTGCCTCCCATAAAATACTGTCAGGATGAGCTTGTGGGAATTACCTGCTCCCCGCTGAGAACAGAGGGAATTCCTGAGAATGTTGGGTTTGTCCCCAAGCTGTGCCCAGCCCAAGATCCTGGGGCTGGAGGCCCCTGTTTGGCCTGAGGGTCGGTCACTCTGTGACTTTGGGCAGCCCCTTGGTGTCTGGGGACACTTCCCGGCCCGGGAGCGCTGCCGCCGGYGTAGCCCACGCACGAGGGACAAAGTTCAGTGCCCAGGGCTCGGAGCAAGCCCCACAGGCTGGTCTTTGTCTCCTCTGGGGTGCCCTGCAGYCTCTGCAGCCGGCCAGGGCAGAGCAGTTCACGCTCAGGCAGGAGCCCCTCGCTCATTGGGAACGCGGTGCCACGGCTGTGACCTCTGCGTGCGCAGTAACAAGCCGGGAGYGACAATCGCTGCCCTTGTCCAGGCCTGCTGAAAGCACAGCCACCCTGCCAGCACATCCCGGAGGGTTTGCCTGCTCCTCTTGGACCACATCCCTTGGTTTCCACTGTTGGCTGTGCCAGGCTTCCAGAGGCGGGGCTGGGGCTTTAATGATGTCGCTGGGAAGTGGAGCTGTGCTTAGCAAGGCTTCAGCTGGGTTTTGGGGAAGCTGCTAGACTGGGGACTGCAGCCAGTGAAAGGTGGCCCTGTCCATGCAGAGGGGTTGGAATGATCATGGAAGATCTATGATTCCAGTCTGGGTTTGTGCACAGCCTGATTAGAGAGTAGAGAAGGAACCAGTGTGATCAGAGGGCTGGAGCATTTCCCCTGTGAGGAAAGGCTGAGAGAGTTAGGGCTTTCAACCAGGAAAAGAGAAAGTTTTGGGGTGACCTCATTGTGGCCTTCCAGTACCTGAAGGCAGCCAAAATGGATGGGGAAAGACTCTTTCCAAGGGCCTGGAGTGGCAGGACAAGGGGAAGTGGCTTCCTACTGCCAGAGGGCAGGGATGGATGAGATATTGGGAAGGAATTGTTCCCTGGGAGGATGGGGAGGCCCTGGCACAGGGTGTCCAGAGCAGCTGTGGCTGCCCCTGGGTCCCTGGCAGTGTCCAAGGCCAGGCTGGACATCGGGTCTTGGAGCAGCACCCTGGCAGGGGTGGAATGGGATGGTCCTTCCAGCCCCTTCCAACCTAGCCCATTCCAGGATTCCATATTCTGAGATTAATGGGAACAGAATATRGAATGGCAGTATTCTGGAATCTATTCCATTCTGGAAAAATCTTGCTAAAGTTCTGCRGCTCTTTTTCTGCCCCCTCATGTTCTCCTGAACCTGCAGTGTTCCTACAGTTCCCACAGGCTTTTCCCTGCCCTGTGAAGCCGCAGGTCGGGTGTGTGCCAGGGAAGAGCTGTTCAGGCAGGCAGGGCTGCCTGGGGGTCCCAGTGCCGGAGCAGCAGTGGGAAGGGACAAGGAGGGCAGGAAGGCAGTGACAGGGGAGCTGGAGGGGTTCTGGCACTGAGGGATACTCAGATGGCGGAGCTGGAGACTCCTGGGCAGGGAAGGGAYGGGAGCAGTGAGAGTCACCCTTGGAATGGCACTGGTGAGGGATGGTGGGGATGGTTTCCCACCTGTCTTGGAGGAGGCAGCCTCGGGAGCAGAACCAGGGAGGATCCGTGCAGATCCTGTCTGCATGGGCAGTGTTCCCCAGGGCCCTGTTTGCCAGCATGACTGAGAATCACCAGCTTTGCTCTTCCAGTTCTAAACCCAGGGAGAGGCTGAGCCAGGGAATGTGGCACTTGTCCTGTCCTTCCTCCARAGGGTGCCCAGCGGCTCTGGGGAGCTGGGGAGGGAACAGCCRGGGGCACTGCTGGGGGCTGCCCCAAACTCAGCCCTGCTGTGTGTCCTTGCAGGGGGAGGAGATGTCAAAATTGAGAACCAGAAGCTGAACTTCAAGGAGAAGGCCCAGGCCAAAGTGGGGTCTCTGGACAATGTGGGACACTCGCCGGCCGGAGGAGCCGTGAAGGTGAGTGCAGGGATCTCTGGCACATCCAGGAAATGCTTTTGATCCAGTTCTTGTCCTCCTCCTGCTGTTCTTGAAGTGCAGCTCCTCCACCACAGCCTGTTACAGCCTCCTTGTTTCTGGGGCCTCTGCTGTGCACCCCAGGAGTGGGGCTGGAGCCTGGGAGGGAGGATGGAYCCTTGGATGAGGATGGTTGGAAAGGAGAGAGCTGGGACCCACCTCAGGGTACCTGATCAGGCTCCTTGTTGGGCATTCCTGAGGGCTGGCACTGCCCATCTCCATCCTTCCTCTGGAATCTGAGAGCAAAGATTACTCCAAACTGTGCCAGCAGAGGCTGACAGTGGCCTTCAGCCCCAGTTAAAGTGGGTGAGATCCAAGTGGGAGAGAGCACCTGGCAGTCTTGGGAGCACTTGGAGAATCATGGAATATCCTGAGCTGGAAGGGATMAATCCAGTCCAATCCTTCAGACCTGTTTGTTTGAGGATCAGAACAGATCAGGGCTGTGATTCATCCCTTCTCCCACAGAACACAAACTGTCCCCAGCCTTGGCTCTGCACATGCCAGGTCTGGCTGCAGCAATGGGACATCTGTGCTCAGGGAGAGGACATTCCCTCCCTGGGGGACGTGTGGGCCTGGCACAGCCAGAGTGTGCTGGGAATTGTGCTCAGGGAGTCACTGGAAGGGACCTTAAAGCTCATCTAGTGCCACCCCTGCCATGGCAGGGACACCTCCCACTATCCCAGGGTGCTCCAAGCCCCAATGTCCAATCCGGCCTGGGCACTTCCAGGGATCCAGGGGCAGCCACAGCTGCTCTGGGTGTCCCCGATCCTGGTCCAGTGTCACAGCAGTGACCCCACCCTACCTGCCAGCCCTTGGCGCTGGGATTTGTCCTCGGCTTTCCCTGGGCCCTGTGCCATTCCCTGGGTCATGTTCCAGCTGTGAGTCCAAGAACACACACTGAGTTCTGGGACCYGAGGGCAGCTCAGAGGAGCTCCAGGGCCCGAGGGTCAGTGAGACCCCGCAGGGCTGGGCAGGATTTGCTTTCCCTGAGCAGAGATTCCCGCTCGGCTCACCCCCCATCCCTGTGCCTCTGCCCAGCCGTGTCCGGTGCCACTGACGGTGCCCACGATTGTCATTGCAGGGTGAGGGCGGCGCGGAGCCGGCGCAGCTCCCGCCGGCCAATGGAGCAGGACCGGGCCCGGTGCCAGCAACCCCTGCACCGCGCGAGAACGGCGTGGGGCCGGCGCTGGCCGCCCTCAGCACCGCCGACCAAAGGGAAATGCAGAGCCTCGACACTCACATCCAAGAAACAAGTAAGTGCCAAGGGCCCCCGGGGTGGGGGAGGGAGCCCGGCGGCCCCGGGCACCGCGGCGTCGCCGCTGCCACAGCCCCCGACCGCTGGCAGCGACGTCCGCACGGTTACCGTGCCTTTCTTTTAATTCAGAAAATTGCCTTTTATCTTCCAGGCATCTAATGATGACATTATGGTATCGTCTTCCATTCCCCTCCTGTCCCTTGTCTCCTCCTCTCCCCGGTGTCCTTGTCCCCTGCCCTTGTATCGCTGCAGATTGAGTCTCACAAGCTGACGTTCCGTGTGAAGGCCAAGGCTCGAACGGACCACGGAGCGGAAATCGTCGTCTCCAAACCCCCCACCCTTCCCAGCAGCACCCGCCCCCGGCGTAGCACCTCCGCCAGCGACAGCCTGGGCTCCGTCGCCTCCCCGTCACCGCCGGCGCCCCCGGCCGCGCCCTCCCAGCAAGGCTTGTGACCCCTGGCCCCGCTCCACGCGCCCCGGGGACCCCAGCTTGGCTCTGTTAACCCGGCCTCTGGCTCTAGGTGGGAAGGGGACGGTGCTCCGCGGGCTGGGGCCCTCCGGCCACGCCGGCTCCCCGGARCATCCCGGGGGTTGGGCCCCGCCCGGGCGTGCTGGGCTGGGGGTCCCTCCACGGCTGGAAAGGGGCTCCCCTCCCTCTTCGTGCCCATCCCGTCGGTTTGGGGGGACCCCGGAGTGTCGGTRTCACATCAGGGCCGGGCCCGAGTGGCTCCTGGGCTGTGCCGGCGGCGGGGACAGAGCAGAGCCCTGCGGGGCTGTGGGGCTGAGGCCAGGCCCGAGTTAACAGGGATAAGCTGTGATCTTTCTTTCTGTCTCTTTTTTTTACCCCTTTCCTCCTCGCCGCTTCAGTTTCTGCCGCCCGTGGGATGCTGATAAATCCCCTCCACACTCGTTAGGCTGTTTTAACTGTTGACTTGAACCTTTTATTCTTTGTGACGAAGTGTTGATGATTTATCGTGCTACGAACCCGAACCCGTGCTAAGTTTCCTTTTCTCTTTCCTTCTTTTCCGACCCGTAGGAGAGTAGGGACATTTAACCGCTGCTGCCGTGCTGGCTTCTTACTGACATATCCAGCCATTGTAACTTCTCTGTTGTTGTTTGGGGTTTTTTTTTTAATATTTTAAACGATGGAGCGAGTTCATGGGATTAAGCCATGTCTGGAATGAAAGGCACAGGAATGTGTAAAGGGCAGACTTGCTGTGAGAGCTCAGGTGGAGCCTGTGTTGACCTCGAGATGTGTGAGTTGATGCTCGTGAGCCCTCCCCGGGGTGCCTTCTGCACAGGTGGTTTATTTATTAACTGGCACAGCTCGAGCCCTGGGATCTCTCCYGTTTTTCCAGGGCCTGGGCTGGAGGGAGGCAGGAGGCACAGGCCGGGAGTTCCGAGGCTGAAGCAGGTCCGTGGGGGTGTGTGGGGCTGTGGTTTTAGCGGGGTGAAGGATGGGTGACCGGAGCGTCGGGATGAGCAGGGCCATGGAGGCAGGAGGGAGCGAGGCAAAGGGCAGCGCTCATCCCAGCATGGGGCCGGGAGCCCTCAGCAGGGCAGCGGGGCAGCGTTGGTGCCAGGAAGTTGCAGCTCTGACTAGGAAGGAGATTTAACCACTCTTGGAGCTCCTTGTTTCAAGTGACACTAAAGAAAAGAAATGTAAATAAATTAAAACAAACAAAAAAAGTTTTCTTGGATGGTCAAAGTAATTTAAAGCAAAAAAAAAAAAAGAGTAATAAAACACTGGGATCAAAGAAAACTGAACCAGGCGTGTGCTAAGGGGGGCTGCTCCAGGAGGGGACAGAGGGAAGCCTGCAGCTTCTCGTGCTTGTGGGAATATTTCTTTGGGAAGCCGACAATGACACGATAACCCGGAATCTGTATTTACACACAAAGATTCTTATTGCACTTGTATTTTTTATATTAAAGTTTGCATGATTTCTAATAAAATGGCATTAAAATGTACTAGTTTGCATCAAAGTCGTCTGATAGTTTCATAAGTGCTTTTTCATCTGAATACAAATTTTAACAAGCGATGCAGATTTGCACCTGAAAGGGGCGGTTATATATACCCAGAGACCTCCCAGTGCTTCCTTTCCTCTTCTTCCTCCTCCTTCTCCTCCTCCTCCTCCTCCCCACCTCTCCACTCCCCTCCACATCCCTCTGATCCCAGCCAGGGAAGGCGGCCGTGCCGTCACTCCCTGCCCTCCATGTGTGTCCATGTGTGTCCCCGGCATTCCCCAGCAGCCGCCACCACCCGGCCCTGGCTCGGAGCTGTTCCCTGTATCCTGGTATATATCACTGCCCTCCCGTGATGCTTCTTTCTTTCTTTACTGCTAAATTCTACACACCAGCTTCAGCTTGGCAGCCTTGGCTTTGGTTTGAGTGATTTTTTCCAGCACTTGAATTGAGGGAAAATGTGAAGGAGGAGAGAGGAGCAGGGTGAGGCCTTTGGCAGGATGGTGAGCCTGGAGCCCGGTTCCCAGCCTGGAGCCCGATTCCCTGCCTGTGACCAGCCAGGKTGTCCTGGCACGGGCTGGAGCCGAGCTCCAGGCTGACCGGCCTGGCAGGGGCCCTGGGAGCAGGGTTTKTGCCGATGGGCTGTGGCCAGAGATGTTCGTGGGCAACCAAAGAGGAGGTGGAGGCTGAGGTGTCGTGTTCCTCTTGCTGCTCTGCCTGGGGCACCCGAGGCCTGGGGTGGCCTGGGATGTCCCAGGATGAGGTTCCCGGGGTGCCCAGGGGTGCCCTGGGCGAAGGGAGGCAGCCGGGTCCAGATTCAGGGCCTGCAGGAGGAAGACAAGTGGCAACATTGCACTTTAACTTCTGAGACTGCAAAAAGCAAACCAGCCCTGCCCCGCTGCGAAGGGACAGTGACATCACCTTCTCCCTGCATTGCTTTTATCCAATTTCCGATTCCCGGAGTGCCGGGTGGCCTGGCCCTGTGCAAGCCCTGGCCCAGCTGAGCCCCCGGCCTGTGCTTCTGTGCCACTTCTCTAACACTTGTTGTGCCTGTGTTTAGCTGACAAACTAAATCCGGATACACTAGTTTGCTGTGATGTTTCTAGGACAGCTTCAGTTTTAATACAGATTTTTTAATTTTATTTTGAGGAAGCGGCTGTACATATTGCTAGCCTGGGAGGGAGCCATGTGTGGTGAGAATGACTTTAGTTTCCTGTCGGGAGAGGTGGGGTGAGCTGGGTAGTGCTGAGACCTCAAACGCTGCTGGGGGGGGCACGCGTGGGAAGGGGCTGCGGGCACCGGTGGCTCCATCAAGAGCTGGAGGCAGCAAATTTGGAGAAAAATAGTAGTTGTGCTCCGAATGAGATGCAAGTTGAATGTACACGTTCCTGTTCCGAGCTGGCGCCGGGGGCCCGGTTTTGGCTGCTGTGCTGGGGGGACTCTGCTCTGGGGAGGGCTGGGCTGTGAGGGGCTGAGGGGGCCGGGCGGGCAGGGCTGTGAGGGGCTGAGCTGCTGAGGGGGGCGAGGGAGCGGCGCGGGCCGCGCCAGGGCTGGGCGGGAGCCGGAGTCCGGCGTCYCCCGCCACATCAGTGGCATATACAGTTACTTTGGGCTTTTTATACTGTTAAACGAGTACATTCGAGTAACCGAGTTTGTGGGTTCGAGGCCGCGGCTCCCGGGTCGGCTCTGGCCGCAAACTGAATGTAGTTTTTTACGCTGCCCCTCGCGTTGTCCCCGCGTAGTGTCGGTGTGTGAGGGGGGCCCCGGGACCCTCGTGTCTTTGTGTTTAGGCAGAATTCCCAGTTTTCTTGGAGATGATGTCTTTGTGCCCTCAGGGTGCCGGGGCTCCCCCAGGGCAGGGCCGGGGCCCCGCGGAGCCACTGCCGCGGTCAGTGCCCTGCCGAGGCCGAGCGGCCGGGGCTGGGGGGCCCAGCGGCCTCCGGGCTCGGGACAAACGGTACCCCAAGGCCCGGGGAGCCGGTGGGTGGAGGGAAGCAGCTCCGGGAGGCAGCAGCAATGGAAAAGGCTCCGAAAGGGCTCCGGCTCTCCTTCCTTCCTCCCCGCTGAGCTCCAGCCCAGCGAGCGCCCGCCTTCCGCCCTCCTCACTCGGGTCCCGCCGGCCGAGATCACCACGGGCCTCCGCCGCAGCCTGCAGCTCCCATTATCCCGTAACGTAGGACACCGAGTCAGGAGCGAGGGCAAGTGGCGGGAGCGTGGGACGGTGCGGCCGGGGAGGAGGCTCGAGATCTGGGCTATTGGCTCCCTCGTGGTCTCGGGAAGCCACTCAACCTCTCTGCCTCAGTTTCCCCATCTGCAAAGGTGGGGGGGATTCAATTTTACCTCACCGGGCTGTTGTGAGGCGTGAGCAGCGTGTGACGTGTTCTCTAAATGTGACGTATTATTATTATTTTGTGTCATAGGATTATTCTGCAGGGGGTGCCCGAGGAGGGGGAGACTCCGCGGTCCCTGTGCCGTGGTRGGGGAGGCGAGAGCTGGGGAGGGGAGGTCAGTGCTTGGCGTGAGACAACAGCTCTGGGGGGGCCGGGGCAGAGCCCCCCGGCCCGGGGGGAATCCACCGGTTGCTTCTGCCTTTGTGTCTCCCCTCCCCGGGGGCTACAAGAGCGTCGTCTCCTTAGCAACATTTCCTGACTTGATGTTGTGATTCTTACTATTGTAAAGGGTTGAAATAAAGCTTCTAGATGTTCCTCCTCAGCCTGGTGTGCCTGTGTGGGGTGGGAGGGCCGGGCGGCGGCGGTGGCAACAGTCCGGGCAGCTGGCAGAGCCCAAAGATGGGGCTGAAGGAATTTGGGTGTCTCTGATTTCAGCCACCAGAATTCCCGTCTCTGGCTTTGCTCCTCAGACCTGGGCTCAGAGGGGAAGGGGCTTTGGGCTGACAGCGGCCCCTGCAGGAGCCCTCGGTGCCTRTGGCACAACCGGCACAGGCGGCACAGCCAGAGGACACCAGCACCTCACACAGATAAAGGTTTCTCACCCTGCTCACCCTGGCTCAGATGTGACTGGGACCCCACATAGCATTGCGACCCAAGGTCCCTGTGGCTGGAGCAGCTGCTCCTCTGCCCGTCCTTGAGCAGTGCTGGGGAAACACTCCCAGCTCCAGACACCCCCAGTTCCCCCACACACTGGGCTGGCTTCCCCAGGCAGGGGCAGGACACTCTGGGCTGGTTTTCTGGGGCAGTGGGACACACTGGCCTGGTTTTCTCTGGGCACCAGCAGCACTAGGACACATCTCCCCCACCAGCAGCCCCCTCTCAGTGCCAGCCCCCTGTGCCCACAGCCACTGTCCCCTCAGGGTGGCTGAAGAGCACAGAGTCCCTCCCTCGCCCATTGCCCCTGGGCAGCTGGACACCTCTCCCCACAGAGAAGCTGCTGTGGCTGCTCTTCCCCACTCAGGAAAAGGCACAAAATTCCAAATGTCGCATTTAAGAAAAATTAAAAAGCAAGAAAGAATGAAGAGAACAGAGGCAGTTCCTACTCTATCCCTTTTTATTGTCTTTAATCTATGTTGTAAAAAGATCCAGTATCACATAACAGCCACGGAAGTATCCCAATATCACACTAGTTCGGAACCATTTAGACAATAGCTTAGTCTTTTTTTTTTCTTTTTTTTTCTTTTTTTTTTGTCTTTTTTGTCTTTTTTTTAAACCTGCTGGAAGGGAAAACCATACTGCCCATTATACAGGCCAAAAGAAACAAACACTGGTCAAATAATAGTGACAACCTCAAGCAAGTGAAATGAAGATGAGCAGTTTGGAGTGACCCCAGGCTGCAGGACTCCGAGGGCCCCGCACCGGCATCCCCACGGCCGGGGGGAGCGGAGCCTCGGCAGGGCCCCCCCGGGCCTTGTGCTGGCACAGCCACGGCGCCTTAAAGCCCATGAGCAGTAAATTAAATGGTAGAACTGGGAGAACCAAAGGGTGGCCCCGGGGGCGCGGGGCAGGAGCCCCTGTGCCATGGAAACGGCCTCGCTCCCATTCCCGGCTGCAGGTACAAAGAGCATAAGAAATGGGAATAAAAAGATCGGAGCCCAGGCCCCGGGGGGGGCACAGCCCCGGGCCCGAGTCCCTCCCGGCGCCCGGCCCGAGGGCTCCCGTTACAAACCCCGACCCTCACAACAGCCCTGTGAGGTAGGTCACTGTCTGCTTCGGACAGAGAATCCAAGGCAAAGCTGGGATTAAACTCCAGATTCCTCAGTGAGTGCTGTGCCTGTCGCAATCCTCCTTCCACAGAAATATGGTCCCTGTTCATAGAAAACAAAGGATTTTGTGCCTCTGCTCCTGGCTTCCTGCAGGAGCAGYGCTCACAGGCAGCCTGGCAGCTACAATCACGTCCTGTGTTGCACGAGGGACAGGGATCTGGCCTCCTCCACGTGGGGAGAACAGGAATTTTTAAAAAATCAAAGGAACAACGAAAGAGGACGAGAAGTACAGGCAGGTTGGGGAGGACGAGTCACATCTCACACTCAGACGCCACGGCTGTGCTGGGGCTGGCAGCRCCCCTCAGATCCCGCGTGGAATTCCTCTCCATCCGGTGCTTTCGGGGCTTCCTCCATGTGGAGAGAACACGATGAGCGATCCCCTCCCTGCTGGAGATGCTGGATCCACGATCCTGGCACAGCCGGGACATCCGTCCTCCTCTTGAGCCTGGAGCAGCTCTGGCCCCGGAGGGGCTCCAGCCCAGCCCCGTGGGGAGGGGGCAGAGGAGGGCCCACAGCAGCCGTGTCCTTGTTCCCAGTCAGGGACTGGTGCTGGGACGAGCGGAGGAGGCGGGTGGGTGTCCACAGAGCTCACGCCGGGGGTCCGTCGGCACTCCCAGTCCATTCCCAGCGGGACTGCGCTGCTCTTCCCACGCRGTGACCATGCACGGAGCCAACAGCAGGAGATTCAGACAACATTAATCTTCTAGGATGGAGAGAGATGACTTCACAAGGGATAAATAGAACTTTATTTAAATAAACATTTGTGAACATCTTTATACAAATTACAAGT